CCCCAAAACCCCAAAACCCCAAAACCCCAAAACCCCAAAACCCCTAGGAATTATATATAATTTGAAATTATAAGCAACACATGGAGTAAGTGATTCTAACCAATCATTATTACCAGACTTATCAGCACGAGTTTTAAGGAACTTTTTCTACTATAAGAGGCAATTAAAGGGCCAAGGATAGGACCAATGGTCAAATTTGAAATTTAGAGGATTTTTAATATATTTTCCTACTTTGGCCTTTCAAATTTCGCTGATATAGTGTTTGTACTAAAATCAGGTGAGATTTAGGACATATTAAGATCCAAATTTAGAAATATATCATTTCCTATAGCTCCTTCAATCTCTGAATTTAGGATTTTGGAGGTAAACTTTCTTTTTATCAAAATCATAGTATAAGCTATTAATACTATCATTATTTTTTGGCTGGTCTTTTAATCTCAGATACCAACTTAAATTATAATTGAATCATTTTGGGCTCTGATTTTTCGGAGCAAATCTATTCCTCCATGAAAGAGCAGAATAAACTCTGATAGTCGTTTAAACCCCAGTTATGCCCAATCTCTAAATATACAACTCCCCAAGTGCTATACTAATCCCCAAGAACCTAGTTCTCTATGGCCTAATTTGCAATATTTCTCCAATGAATTCCTTCCGAAACTATATTAGAAATTTCTTCTCATCAACAAGCACACCCTCTAGCCATGGCATCAGCCCACTGGTAATACTCTAGAATAATCTAGCCTTCACTGGGACCTCTTGGTACAGGAACCTTCAGAATCTCACCGAGATTCTGAAGAGTTCAAGAACAAGTAGTATAAGTAGTGAATAATAAATTTCCTAGTTTAGCACCCAGATCTGGGCTTGGATTTTCTGGGATTTACTCCTTCAGGAAGGACACTTGTTTAATAGCGGTGGTGGATTCGGCAAATTTTATTATGAAGAGGGGACAAAGAGGGCTGAGTGGTCTGGATAATTAGCTGGAGTGAAGATAGGGATAGCTTTGGATTCAGAGGGGTTGGTGAGAGGAATCATGCTTTGGGGTAGGAGAGTGCGATGGGTATGCCTCTAGCATGGATTTATGGGGTGATTAGTGACTCTGGGAATAGGAGGAAGCGGTGTTGTATTATTTTTAGATGAGCAAGGGTTTGTTTGCCCCGCCTTGATCTGTGTAATTTTTCCGTGTTTTCTTTGTGATAGGGGAATTCTTGTTAGGAGATGACCGATTTTACAAATTGCTTATTTATTAATTTTCTGAAAAATTCATGAGTATAAAATAAAAAGGATGTTGGTATTGAATTTATGTGATTTGAAAATTGGATTCTAAAGACTATTTGGCTAAAATTTTGAGCAAAAAATCACTAGAGATAGTTCATAATACAACCTAGTGGAAGCTGCTGAGGCAAACTCTTTTGAAATAAATAAGAGCTAGTGTCTGCAAGGTAGTGGGCCACGAAATAGAATAAACATTGATAAAATTCACAGTAGCCAAACTAATAAAACGTACCAAAGCATTATAAATCCGCTCATGCTCCATCTCAAGCCAAGCCACTGTGGATGCTGTTAGCCATAGCTCTTCTTTGCGATGCATTGCTCTGCAAGCATCAATTCTTAAGTATTCCAAAAGAATTGGCCTTTGCTGCTACCAGATAGTTGGTCTATGAATTTCCCAGAGAATTAGAGTTTTTGGCTCAATTACAGTGAACTAATCTTTGGAATTTAATATTCAGTGGTAGAAGCTCGATAGTGATTTTTTCTAATTTTTCATATTTTTATTATTGACTAAAAGTGAAAGGCCCAACTTTGATAAAGAGATGAGGAATTATAGGCTGCCAAAGGATGGATTATACGCAAGCTTTTAAGTCACTGTTTTGTATATTTAGGATAGCTTAGTGTTAGAAAGCCAATATTTTAATAGGAACTGTTTAAAACATCCCTTCTCAAGTCAGATATTTTATGATTATAACATCAATTCCAAGATGAAATTTCCCTAAAAGCATTCGAAATCCCGATCCCCAACCTATGTCCCAATAAGCTAATAAAAACTCTCCTAGCCTATCATGCTCCTCTATTGCCTCAAAATTCTTTCAAACCCCTCTGAACAAACCCAGAGACTTATTTCCCTCCCTGTTCTCTATCATTCTTCCTCTTATCACCTAAAATAGATCTATGACCAAGAACAAAGTAACAAGAAACCCAAAACTAAAGAGCTCCAGCGATGCCAGCATCAGTTACGGCTGCACAAGATCAAAATCCTCATATTTATCCCAATTTATAACTAAAAATGCCCAAAAGTAGGCTATTTTCTCTTCTAAATTATCAGGTCGAAGGGAGCCAAGCCTGCAAAGAGGAAGAAGGACCCATTTAAAAGCATGAATTACGTCACGCCGACCTCTAAGATCAACTTTTCCATCAGTGATGGCAAGCTAGACCTCAAGCTTGAGGTAATCCAGGTTATTAATACTGTAGAAAATGAGAGACAAGGTCTTTGCAACCCCTACTAAGGGCAGGCATCGCAGAATGAGATCGACAGTTCAACCCGAGATGTTTGAAAATTGTGGGGTTATAGCAGCTAAATCTGAGTAAGACTAAAAATTTTGGAGTTATATGGAGATTTTGAGCCATCAGAGTAAATTTAGATGTATAGAAGCCAGAATATAGACGACACGAAGGAAATAAAGCCGAAAGTGAAGAAAACTATTAAGAAAACTGTAGCAACCTTCTCACCTATTTTGGAAGAGGACAATTATGATAATGTTATTGTCAAGAAATGAGATGAAGACACAATGGGAGGTGCCAGTGGGCCGAGTTATGTTGAAGCCATCAAATTTGCCTCAGTTTATAACACTCAAACTGACTGTCATAGCTCAAAGATACTTGATGATCAGATGATCAAGGCTAAAATGGACAAGATAAATGAGTACAGAGATAGGCTAAGGAAGAAACCACAAATCTTGAGTAGGAATATAAAGAAAGAAGAGAGATATAGCATGAAAAAGACCACCTCCTCTAAGGCTGAATCTGCCATAGCAGGATCCTCTACTCGTGAATCTCAAAGTTAAACTACAATTTTCCTAGCATTTATGCAATTTCGCTTAGTATTGTCAATTTTTTTATTTTGAAAAGGGGTTTTGGGGTTTTGGGGTTTTGGGGTTTTGGGG